ACACACTGCCCCCATACACACATACTGCCCCCCATACACACACTCTACACACACACACTGACCCCATACACACACATTGCCCACACTCACACATACACTGCAATACTCACACACACACACACTGCAACTGTTACACACACATACTGTCCTACACATACACTGCATCCCTGACATACACTGCCGCCCTCACTCACATACTACAACCTTCACACACACTGCTCACACACTGTCCCCCTCACACACACACACACATACTGCACCCCTTACACATTGCACCACTCACACACACCACTGCTCCTATGCCCTACTACAGCCCCATTTCCCAGCAGACCTCAGGTAAGTTGTCAAACTGTTCTTAAACGGTTTGACTACTTACTCTGGGAGGGGGTCCCGGCACTATTGACACCATAACCACTACACTGAGCTGTAGTGGTTATTGTGTCTGGATTATTTCTTTAAATAATCTACAAGTGCCCCTCCCGAGATCAGGCTCTGGATCCGCCACTGCTCATCTGTGTGCTAGTGACCTGGTTAAAATATGGTCTACAGTTCAGAATCTATAGATCCGAATGGGAGGCTTCTCACTAGCCAAGCTGTTATAAAAAAATATGCAATGTTCTAAGGTGATAATTAAATGTTTAAGATTGCTTTAAAAAAATAAAATAATTAAACTTTAGTATATGTTCTCTCTTTGATTAATTTTGGTTATTTTACTTATTTGTAATTGGTCAGGGAACTGCAAATATAGGGCAACCCAATAAAAGTATAAAATTAAATAAAAATTATATTAAAACTGGATTGTGTTACCTTTTATTCCCATACATTGCATTACTAACTTGTAAAACCAATTATGCTATTTATTTGATCTTTTCAGACAGATATGCATAATGCATATTTTGTATTAAAGGGACACTATAGTCACCAGAACAACTGCAGCTTATTAAATTTGTTCTGGTGAGTAGAATCATTCCCTTCAGGCTTTTTGCTGTAAACATTGTCTTTTCAGATAAAATGCAGTGTTTACATTACAGCCTTGTGATAACTTCACTGGACACTCCTCAGGTAGCTGTTAGAGATCCTTCCTGGGTCATGGCTGCCTAAAATGCATCCAAATATTCAGTGTCTGCATGCAGACACTGAGCTTTCCTCATAGAGATTCATTGATTCAGTTCATCTCTATGAGGAGATGCTGATTGGCCAGGGCTGTGTTTGAATCATGCTGGCTCTGCCCCTGATCTGCCTCCTTGTCAGTCTCAGCCAATCCTATGGGGAAGCATTGTGATTGGATCAGGCTACCACTTCGGATGATGTCAGCAGACGGCTTGTTTTTTTTAGGCAAACATCATGCAGATCTACAGCCTCAGGCTTGAATACAGTAAGATTTTGCTATATTTATGGAGGCATGTTATGGGGGGCTAGATGGTGGTTTTAACACTATAGGGTCAGGAATACATGTTTGTGTTCCTGACCCTGTAGTGATCCTTTAATTATTGTACCTGCAAGTACAATCTTGTCATTCTTTGGAAATGTTTTCTCTTTGTAGTTGATCAACATGACTTGGTATACTACACATGTCACCCTCAATGAAATATATTTTATCACAAATAAAGGCAAAATAGTGTAGGTGGGGTTGCATTCTATAATTTACATTTTAGCTAAAAAAAATTTTTGTAAATTGTCAATGACTGGACTGCAATACTTCCCTTACCTCACTCCTTCTACCATGTTCCCGTGCGTCAAACTTGTCTGGTTACAATTACACGTTTGTTAGTCCTTCTTTTGTAAAGTATTATGGAATTTGTTGGCGCTATATAAATATAATAAAAATAATAGTAATAATATAGGGTCTTAGTGCCTTATTATCTAGGCAAGTACAGTATGTAGTCAATTACAAAGTTATGCATCTTGAAATTAACCCATAAGTTATGCATAGACTAAACTATTAAAATTAGGCATCGTTTTGAATGAGAAGGATATGGGAATAATTATAACTACAGACTGTAAAATCATATGTAATGTAAGTCAGCAACTGAAAGACCAGCAAATACTGTGACATATGAAAAAGGTTATTTGTTGGCATAACAAAAATAAAATTGTCCCCTTGTAAATAAGTTGTAAGATCCCACTTTAATGTTATTCATTGAGTCTTGAAAAAAGAATAGTTTTCCTACAGCAAACGATATGATACAGTAAGAACAAAATATGTGCCTGGCTAAAGATGTTTTTTTTCATCAGCTTCTTTAGTGATTTTTAATAAAAGTGTGACAACAGCTAGCTAATTAAATATACATTGGATTTTTTTTTCTGAGAAAAGAGAATATGTTTCCTTTTTTGTGGCTCAGTTGGAAATCACCACAAATTCTTTTGGACATATGTCATAAACTGGGATGTATGAAAGGTTAAAGTATAAGCGGTATACATTACTATTATTATTAGTATTGCTTGCTAAGAATCTACGAGAAACCCGGATTATAGATGCATACGTTTCAAATAAATCAAATTTGTCAAAAACTTAAAGATGGGGATTTTTAATGGACAACCAAACCTGGCATCTAAATGTATGACATAAAATTAAGTGTTTACACACGAAGTGTGATATAACAGAACTACCTAAGAAACATCACATGGCAGTAGTGTTATAATTCAATATAGCTACAAGTCATATAAGCAAAGTCAATGTAAATAAACAAAAAGTAAAGCAAGTATAATGAATTCATGTTAAAAAAAAAACCAAGATTCAAACGTACAAATAAAAATACTAAACATGAAAATAGTTTAATTGCATATATTTTAAAATTGTTTTATATAAATTATATATGGAACCAAAATTAACTTTCCTAATAAATGATTCAAGAATAAATTCCTAACATTTTTACTCTTTTCCAGACAAGATCATGAGGCCTGGGTTTAACATCAGTTAAATCATATATGATTAACACAATAGACATATTGGTAAAATTTCAAAATGTTTTTTTTTTCTTTTTCTTTACTCACATTCTTTTTTTCTTGAAAGCAGGGAACAAGATTGACACTTGACTTAACAACTGATTACTGTGCATTTCAAATTTTGCCTTGAATGAATACTTATGCCACCCGACATTTGTGCTTCTTTTTATGTTTTTGTGATTTTAATGTTTCTTCTTTCTTATGATTAGTTACCTAATGTTAAATTTTAGATGCTAGACAGGCATTGATAAAATACATCCAAATTGGAAGCTAGTGATATCCTTGTCATCTAATAAAA